CTATCAGACGAAGACTATCCTCTGATTTCAACCTGCATGCCCGGCGTCCTTCCATTAAACCTAGGCTTTCTGCCAAGAACATCAAGGATCAGATTGCCTTTTGTCAAAAGCACATCCTCTTCATTCTTTTGTTTATAGACCTGTTAATCAGCGACTGAATCCCAAGTACACCAAATGCAATGTTAAACAGTGCCAATCAATCATGGTCTGGGCTTCAATTTCAACCAGAGGACAAGCAGGTATTTGGTTCATGCCTCCTAAAACAACCATTAATGCCAATGAATATCTGAAAATTTTGAAAAGCAATTTGCTTCAGTGGCTGCCTCTTTCTGGTTGTACAATCTTCCAGCATGATGGTGCACCATGTCACCAGGCAAAGGTGATTACTAAATGGCTTGCTGAGAAAAATATTCAGGTACTTTTTCCTTGGCCGGGATCCTCGCCTGACTTAAATCCATAGAGAATTGCTGACATCTGTTAAAGAAAAAGGTAGCCGCTTTAAAGCCATCATCATATGATGATTTGAAAAAAAGATAATGTTGGTTTGGTCTAATGAAATCACTCCTGCTTATTGTGAAAATTTGATCAATTCTATGCCCAGGAGAATTACTGCTGTGCTAGCGGCTAAAGGAATGCCCATAAAATACTGACATGACATGGACATTTTGTGTTTTATTTCACAAAGTATGTTGTACTTATTCCTAGTAATATGAATTATATTGGAAAAAACTGAGATGGTTGTTCATTGAATAAAGTTTTATGGTTAAAATCAGTTTTTTAGTCTTTTTCAACCCTTGGTCTCAGACTTTTGTCCAGTACTGTATATATAAATATATATAAATATATATATGTATATATATATAAATATATATATATATATATATATATATATATATATATATATATATATATATATATATATATATATATATATATATGTAGATTTTTTACAGATTTTTCTTATTATTCACTTTTTCATCTTTAGTTTTTTTTTTTTTTTTTTTTTTGCAGAGTTTTCCTTTTTTTCATACTGCATAAGGCTAGTTTTACTCAATTTGTTTTTTTAAATGCTTTTGCTTTTAGTCCTAAAAATATATTACAAAATAAACAATTTAACGGCAAACAGAAAATAAAATATTACATCAATAACAATAAATTAAACCATGGTTTGCAAAAAAAGTTTGCATTTTACCAGTTTGTGGTTCGCATTTCACATTTTACTAACTACCGAAATATTGTTCGCATTTGAAAATACCATTTACAATATATAGTAACAAAAATGTCATTGACATTTTTGTTACTATATATTGTGAATCGACATTCTACTACTATATATTGTAAATCTATAACTACTGTATATTGTGAGTCGACATTTTAAGTAAATTAAAAAGGTAAATTGACAAAATAGCCAAGTAAAATTAAAAATCCAAGTTATGAGGGATATTGACAATTTTGCGATGAAAATACTAATTGATTTTATTATTATTAATGTTGTTAGAATCAAAGCTATTTATAGTATATATGTTTGACTTCTATGAGCTAGGTGCCTAATGTGATCCAGCTATAGTAGACTGATGCAAAAGAAAATGATCTATCATAGTTTTTTTTCAACTGGTTGATCAAATTTGCAGCAACTACCAAAGCAGGCAAGACATTCTATTTTGATGCCCCTCGGTTTTAACAGTTGTGTTTTAGACTGGTTTCTAAAGGTTGCGTTTTAGAATTCAGCACACGAAATAGTTTTTCAAAGCATGCCAATAAAATGTAATTTTTTCACAAAAATGGGTTATTTTCACTTAGATTTTTTGAAATTTCCCTAAATATAGCCGATCATTGATTGTTGATTGGCCGTTATTTAGAGGGCTGAGAATTTAAACTTCTTGTTTTATTTTATGCATGTAACAATAGACAACCTGCAGATCCATTGCACATGGTAGTACTCACTTGTCCAATCTGTTGCTGTCAGTTGACTGAGTTAAATTTTCAAAAATTAAATTAGATCACCACTTTTTCTATGTTCAGTTATTGAGGTCAAACCTAGATTTATCAGTATAACTCGTATTACATGTTTTGCAATTGCAAAAGAAGTTTGGTTTCTCTGCATTGAATCGATTCTATGTTTTTAATATGTACTTTAATATTAGCAGCATATACTTTGTATAGAGCTACACAAACATAACACAAACAACTTGGATTCCATTTTATGAATATTATATATATATATATATATATATATATATATATATATATATATATATATATATATATATATATATATATATATATATATATATATATAACAGGATAATCAAAACTTTTTTATAAATTCAGAACAAATTAATTTAAAAAACAGGACATTAAATAAAACATTTTATTTAATTAAATAAATCGTTTTAGTTGGTTTTTCAAATAAATTTGTTTTTATTTTAAGTATTTTATTTTAAATAAAGTAGTTAAAATAAAATTTAATTAAATTCTAAGTTTTTTTATAAACATCTATACTTCCAACAAAGCTGATAACAACCGCTATTAGAGTTGGAACTTACTGGAAGAGAAAAGATGAAGTTTATGAAGCAAGATAATGATTAACAGGTAACTTAAAAGATTGCAATTTATATGAATCAGGAAAACAAGATAAAGAGAGCAAATAAAAAAAGCTAGACAAATAAGAATTTTTGGAGCACTTAGCAACAGTCACAGTAAAAGGATGAAACTTAATTGAATAACGAGTATCACGAGAATGAATTTTAGTTGATGGCACAAGAGATGCTAGCTTTTTATATCAGCACCCATTATAGTATCTATAGAAAAGAATAAGAGAAGCAACATTATGACAATGTGACAATGGCTCAAGGTTGGCTGCAAGAACCGGTAAAAGTTATGGGCTTTAACACCTGCAGAGTCACTGACACTAGAACTAAGCCATTCAATGTGATGAGGATTAAAGTCACCAACAACAACAATATTAGCTGAACAATAAAGAGAAAGGGCTTGGTAAATTTGATAAGAAATACCATTAAAAAGAGTGCAGTCTTGAGATGAAGGAGAGCAATATAAAACAAAGAGAAAGGTGATTGAGGGAATTGGTACTAAATGAAAGCACATAAAAGAATAGTCTGTTGACTCAAACCTAGTTTCCCAACAAAAAGGTGAGTTTTTACGAATGTAAATGCACAGACCAAGCTTGTGACTAATGGAGTTTTTACGAATTAAAAGAAGATAACCAACACTAAGATCACAAGACGAGACAGCCAAATTTAAAATAGTCTCACAAAGAGCAAGTTGGTCTAGTGAACTTTGCGAGTGATAAGACTTAACAGAAGAAACATGGCATTGTTTGTACTCTGATATGTTACAGCTGTTGATGGAATAACTTTTCTGAGAGCTACCACAGAGTTTGGAAAACCTGACTACCATCTGGCCTCAGAACCATAAAACTGAGTTTTATAGCTGTACCCTCATTAGGAGATAATAGAATGAGTTGCCTAATCATATTAACTGAGGCACAAGCATAACTTATGCAATAAGTCAAGAAGATCCGGCATTCAACATCCTATACTAGAAACAATCTATTATAAATACATCACATTGTATTATAAATATATTTTAATAGAAGAAGAAGAGGTGCGAAACTGGTCAACAGTTAGAATCTGTTTACCCCATTAGATGCAAGTTAAATAATTAAGGTAAAAATGATAAAACAAATTTTTTTATTAAATTCTAAATAAATACAAAACAAAAACAAACAAACAAACAAGCAAAAAAAGCTAATGAAAAAACTTAATTGTTTTATTTAGGATTTGAAAAAAGCAACATATTAATTAAATCATTAATAAAACAATAAGAAATAAAAATAGAAAAACAAAAGTTTTATTTAAAATTAAACAAAACAAAAAAAAGAAGGCTTTATTAATTCTAAATAAATGATTTATAATAAAACTTGCAAAAAAAATATTTTATTTAAAATCTTAATAAAATGGTAAAATACTGCTTCCTTTTTTTATATTTTTAAGCAAACACAGATGTTTAAAATAAAAGTCAGCAAGCTCAGCGATTGTTTTTTTCTTAAATTTATGCTAAATGTTTGCAGTTTAGTTATTTGTCAATCCATGATTCTAAATTTTGTGCTGACCTGATGCCAACCTATAATGGTTTTATATTGGCAATTTTTAAAATTTGCTAACCTTTTCTTTCCTAATTCCAAAGGCTGTATATATAAACAGTGTCAGTCAAAAAAAGCTGGCCAAGATTTTTTAAAGGAAAAATTTACTTTTAATAGGTTATAAAAAAATTTCACTTAAGCTTAAACCCATATGTTCTCTTTTTTTTTTTGCTTATTTTTGTTTTATATTATTAAAAATGTGTTTCATATTGAACTCAAGTCAATTTTATTTTTCATTCTTTAACAATTTTATATTTAGAAGTATGTCATTATAATGGTTAAAAAAAAGATTCTTTATATGTAATATATATATATATATATATATATATATATATATATATATATATATATATATATATATATATATATATATATATATATATATATATTTATATATATATATTTATATATATATATATATATATATATATTTATATATATATATATATATATATATTTATATATATATATATATTTATATATATATATATATATATATATATATATATATATATATATATATATATATATATATATATATATATATATATATATATAGAGAGAGAGAGAGAGAGAGAGAGAGAGAGAGAGAGAGAACTAGTTTCAAGTTAAAGTTAATTAAATGACTTTGAGTTGTGTTTAAAGATAAGTAATACAAGTTTAATCAATTCATTAATCACTGATGTTTTTTAAAGAAACAAACTATTCTTTAATATCTATTTGACATTATATTTAACATAATAGATAATTCAATAAATATTTTGTTTTGAAATAAAATTAGCTTTTTTTGCCAATGCTTATATAAATACGATTAACCACTTTAAATCTTTTTTTTTAGTATATTTCCCAGTTGGCTTCAGCTCTTGAATATTGTCATTCGAAGAAAGTAATCCATAGAGATATTAAGCCAGAAAATCTTTTACTTGGCATGAAGGTATGTCAATTTATATGCTTTGATTTTCATTAATCAGACATTCGGATGGTAATACTATAAAATATATGTTTTTAAGCATAAATTGGCATTGGGATTTTAATATGTAGCTAGTGTAGCATATACAAAATATTCAAATTTTTCTTATTAACATATATGCAGGCTTTCTCAGGTAAGGCGCACGCTTTGTTTGTCCACGCATAGAATAAGTTTTTCAGAAACGTGACCGCTGCAATATTTCGTGTGAAAGCGGAAATTATTCCCAGAGATAAAGAATAATATTAAAAAAAGGAAACGAAGTCTAAACAAAGTATAAAATTGAAATTGGATGTAAGAAAAATATTTTAATAATAAAAAAAAAAAATTAAAAAAAAAAAATTCTTGTAACAAAAAAAAAAAGTCTTGAACATTTTTTTCAAACTTTTTATACTGTTTTTGTTTGCTTTTTTAAGGGTTGCTATTTTCAGCTACGAAATTTGATACAAGTCAAAGGAAAGACGACGATAAGTCGTAAAGTTTTCACGAAAATAAAAAGACTTGATACGTAATTTATTCACGAACTTTATCAGACAATGTATTAAAAAACTGATTCATTATTTACGCTAGACAAATTTGGTTAAATTTTTTCATTTACGAAAGTTTATGTAAAGGCGTTGACTTTATTCCCCAATACTTTGACAAGAAAATAAGTTGCTGTTTTAATTATTAAATATATTATTTCAGATTTTAAACATAACAAAATTTTAATGTGAAAAAGTTCTTTCTCGACTTATTCTAAACTGATTATACTGAGTCAATGCTCGCCTTTTATTACGTTGAAATTATTCAATTGCATAATTTTGTAATTACGAAAGAAGTTAAAAAAATAATTGCATTGCTTCTGTTGTCATTGTTACAAAAACAGTTCCTTCGGGACATTATTATATATTAACACTCGTTCACAATGTCAATTAATGATTGCAAAATAAACAACTCAATCGTTTGACAATAAAATTTTCTTTCGTTTAAAAAAAAACAACAACATATTTTACTAATAAATAGCAATCGTTTTCGTGTTTTCTTGCGTATCAATACATTCAAACATTTAAATCAATACACTTAAACATTTAAATGTATTTACGAAACATTTAAAAATTGTTTATAGTTCTATCGTGAATTTTAAAGTATTACTGACTGATAAAAGTCATAAACAAATTTACATTAAAAGGTCCTTTTATTTTCTTTAAACATTAATCTTTTTCTCTTTGATTTGATTTTTCTTATTGATTTGATTTTTCATAGCTAAAATAACTACCACCCTAAAAAAATAAATAAATAAAATGTAGGTAAATTTTTTTTTTTTAATAATATACATTAATTTTTTAATTTTAAAGCACAAACAGATTTCTGTTATTTACTTTAAGATTGCTTGCATTTTTGCGGTATTTTCGTTTAGCTTTGTTTTGGCGCGAATTCTTGAAACGCATAATAAAACGTAGTCAGTTAGTCAGAAAAATTTATTCTATGCGTGGACAAACAAGGCGTGCGACCGCAGGCCTTTCCTGGGAAAGCCTGTATATGTGTAGTATTTTTTTGAAACTTTCTAGGGCGAGTTAAAAATATCTGATTTTGGTTGGTCTGTACATGCTCCTTCATCAAGGTGAGTATTGTACAGTAAAGTATAATATACTTATAAAGTATAGTTTTATTATAGGATCAACCTTTATTGTTTCAATGTTTGATTTATTTAGGCGTACAACTCTTTGTGGTACCTTAGACTATTTACCACCTGAAATGATTGAGGGAAAAGTTCATGATGAAAAAGTAAATATAATTTTATTTTCAATATATATATATATATATATATATATATATATATATATATATATATATATATATATATATATATATATACATATATATACTTTGCTAACATCATCATAGAAAGAAGTGTGCATTTTTATAGCACATGTGCTATTATTTTTGTTTCTTAAAAAATAATTTCTGTCCAAAATATCGTAGTTTGAACCTTAATCTATTTTTCTGATCAATGCATAATAAATTGAATCTTATTTTTTTTAATTTGTTTTATGTCTGAGTATAAGTTTCAAATATTATATTAACAAACATAAAAACAGTTAATTTTAACTATTATTAAATGTTGCTATGATGATGTTGCTAATTCCCTATGCAGAATGTGTCTATATAGGCTGAGTTTATGATGAACATAAGCGCAAGGGCCATCCGAGAAAAAGGATTTGACTATTGTTTTAAAAAGCATTTTAAAACCAGTTAAGTATAACTTTTATTAAATGTTGCCATGATGATGTTGCTAGTTCCCTATATAGAATGTGTCTATATAGGCTGAGTTTATGATGAACATAAGGGCAAGGGCCATCTGAGCAAAAAGATTCAGCTATTGTTTTAAAAAGCATTTTAAAACCAGTTAAGTATAATTTTTATTAAATTTTGCCATGATGATGTTGCTAGTTCCTTATATAGAATGTGTCTATATAGGCTGAGTTTATGATGAACATAAGCGCAAGGGCCATCTGAGCAAAAGGATTTTACTATTGTTTTAAAGGGATCCCTAAGTGCTATAAAGATATGATCTCATATGAAAGAGCATAAAAAAAAAAATGTTTGATGTATGTTATTTTTTCTAAAACGTAATAATGAACACACACTAGCAAATTTGATTTTTAAAAAAACGCTTTTCTTCGATTAAAAAAAATGCGTCTTGTCCAAAGTTTATTGACTCTACTGCCTCAAAAAACTAACGTTTGTACGTCAAATTAAACAAAGCAGACAAAATGTCATTATTGCAAACTTATTAGTTGGTAATTAAATTTAAAAGTAAAGTCGTTTTTTTTCAACTAACACATAATTACTTACAAGAATAAGATTTGTAGCATTTTGTGAAAATATATTTGTATATTAAATTTTTTTTTACAATTTTAATTTATATATTTGTGTTATAAGGGCAATTCCACGGCTAAAAATGAATAGAAGTCAAATTTTAAACTCTTTTTAGTCAGTTAAAAACAAATGAATATTGAATATAGACACATGAAAGTTTATTTAAAACATTTCCTTAGTAGAAAAATAAATTTATTTTAGTAATTTTTATGGTTTCAAAAGTGACTCTCATTTCGCTTAATAAAAATACTCTCTACTCTCATACTCTCATTTTCGCTTAATAAAAAAAATAATGATTGTAAAATGTTTTAGTTAAATTAACATTTACGTTAAATTGCTATATTTTTTTGGTTCAAATTGATAAGGTTGAATAAACATTTTATTAGAAATTAAACTAAGACAGGGCTCGAATTAACGCAAAAAAATCTAATCGCAAAAAAATTTTTTTTTTTTGCTCTTTCCCCCTCTCTCTTATAGCTCGCGTCGATGTGCGGTAATAGGGGGAAAAAATTATCGTCAATAAATCAAAAAACATCGTCAAAAATTTAATAAAAAATTAGATACCACGTTTTTTAAAATTTATTGTTTTTTGAATAAAGGACTAATAAAAGTTAAAATATAATTAAGTTTTTTATTTAAATGGTTGATGTTTTTATTCAATTTTTCTATTTCAAGTTTTCTAATAAAAGACGAAACAAAAAAATTTGGTTTAATAAATCGAATTATACTTCATGTTTAAAATAAGGCTTAAAAACGTTAAAGTAAAAAAATTGCTGGTTTTTATTAGCATTTTTATACTGTTTGAAAAAAAAAAACTAATAAAAAAGAATTAACTAATAATATATTAATTAATAATTATTAGAATTAACAATAATAACAATTAATTCTTTTTTATTACTTTTTTTTTCAAAGACTATAAAAATGCAAATAAAAGTCAGTAATTTTTTTGCTCTAACGTTTTTAAGCCTTATTTTAAACATGAAGTTTTGATAAACAAAGATAAAAACCAACTTTTCAACTTTTCGCTTTAACGACCTTGTAAAAATTTTCCACGCAGAGATTAAAAGTAATTTAAATTGAAAAATGTTTTACGTTGAAAGAAAATCTTCGCGGGAAAGAGCAAATCATCTATTCATCTATCTATTCAGAATAATAAATTTTGTGTGACGTTCTTTATGATAAAAACATTACTTTTAAGAATTGCTAAAAAAAATGCTAAGCTAGAAAAAAAGTAATTAATCAACCAAAAAAAAAAACAAGTCGAAAAAAGATTTTTTTTAAGAAAAAACTAATCACAAAAGTGTATGTAGCAATTGCGCTTAATACGAGCCCTGTAAGACTTTCTTATAAGTTCTAAACTATTTAAAACTATTACTTAATAACTTTTTTTTAACGACGTCTTTCAACCAAATGCTATTATACTGTTTTTGCAAAACTAATTAAAAAAACTTGATTAAAACTTAACTATTTAATCACGACTTTTTTTTTACTTGAAAATCGAAGTAGATATTTTAAAGTTGTTGTGACGTACTAACGTGATTTTTAACGACTAACAATCGAGTTTCAATGGTGAAAAAATAAAATCAAAATGGAGTTGTTTTTTAGTGATTTCGGCAATTGCTTTTTGTTAGCATGCATTTATTATTACAATTTAGCGAAAAAGAAAAAAAACTTACATATTTTTTTTTATGCTCTTTCATATGAGATCATATGTTAGAAGCACTTAGGGATCCCTTTAAAAAGCTTTTTAAAACCAGTTAGGTATAACTTTAATTAAATGTTGCCATGATGATGTTGCTAGTTTCCTATATAGAATGTGTCTATATAGGCTGAGTTTATGATGAACATAAGCGCAAGGGCCATCTGAGCAAAAAGGTTTGGCAATTGTTTTAAAAAGCATTTCAAAACCAGTTAAGTATAACTTTTATTAAATGTTGCCATGATGATGTTGCTAGTTCCTTTTATAGAATGTGTCTATATAGGCTGAGTTTATGATGAACATAAGCGCAAGGGCCATCTGAGCAAAAGGATTTGACTATTGTTTTTAAAAGCTTTTTAAAACCAGTTAGGTATAACTTTTATTAAATGTTGCCATGATGATGTTGCTAGTTTCCTATATAGAATGTGTCTATATAGGCTGAGTTTATGATGAACATAAGCGCAAGGGCCATCTGAGCAAAAAGATTTGGCTATTGTTTTAAAAAGCATTTTAAAACCAGTTAAGTATAACTTTTATTAAATGTTGCCATGATGATGTTGCTAATTCCCTATATAGATTGTGTCTATATAGGCTGAGTTTATGATGAACATAAGCGCAAAGGCCAATTATGCATAAGTTTGGTAATTTAAAAAGTAATGATGTATTGAAATTTTTTTTTTAAGAGTGTTGAGGTGCCCATTCATAAAGTATGTACGCAATAAATCTACTGTTTTAGAACTTCCTTCACCTTTGTATTCACCTGATGGTTTTAACACTACTATCCCTCTACTATGTATATATGCATTATTTATTATAAAATCAACTCCTCACACTCCAATGCAAAAATTTTTCAAAACATAAAAAACAAAAAAATTTAGTTAATTTGACATTTCTTTGTTACATAACATAATATTGATTATAGAAATTAGAAATATAGAATAAGCGTCAAATCATGTATGTAATTTTGGTCTTAAACCCTCTCTTCCTCCTTTGTATTCATTCGCTTTTGAGTAACCCCTTCCCCATACCTGCATACCTGCTTTAGCGAAGACCTTATGCGTTAATTTAAAAAGTGTTGTGTAAAATTATGCATTCAAAAATTTTTATCTTTAATATTGGTTATGCTAAAAGTAAAAGTTTTATAAAATAAAATGTTATTAGATAAGAATTCTTTTTGTATTATGCTATTTTTTTCTTACTTGGAAATTATATATATATACATATATATATATATATATATATATACATACATACATACATACATACATACATACATACATACATACATACATACATACATACATACATACATACATACATACATACATACATACATACATACATACATACATATATATATATATATATATATATATATATATATATATATATATATATATATATATATACACATAAATTTTTAAATATCTCTTTATCACCAATGTTGAGGCTTTTAATTTAGGTTGACTTATGGAGTGTTGGTGTTTTATGTTATGAATTTTTAGTTGGAAAACCACCTTTTGAGACAGAAAGCCATGACCATACGTATCAGCTGATTTCTTCTGTATGTTTTTTTGTATTTTTTATTGAAGTTTTTAATATTAAAATGTACTAAGACTTATAATGGAAACTTATACTGAGGATACTTACACTTGTCATGTACAATTAGATACTTTCACTGAGGCTATTAACACTTGTTGTATCCAGTAAGATAATTACACTGGGGGTACTTTTGGTTGTATACAGTAAGATACTTACACTAGATTAATTTTGCATTTTTTATAGGTAAATTCTACCATTTTTTGTAGGTCAAATACTCATTTCCAGACTATGTAAGTTCTGGCGCCCGCGATCTTATATCCCAGGTATAGTTATTTGACTTTTAAAATTATAATAACCTATTGGTTTTTGGGCAAATAACTTTAAATGTTATCATCACAGTGTCATATGTGTACTAGTTTGCAGTGAATTTTTTTTTCACACATTTTGTTGGGTGTGTAAAAATTGTGAATAATATTTGTAATGCATTTAAATATAAGATCTTTAGCATGACATCTTGAGATGCTTTTCAAATTTTAAAATCAAATTTTTTTATCAAATCAAATTTTTTTTAAAAAAATGTATTATTAAAAAATTACAGTTAAATGTCATTAAAAATTATTTTCGTTAAAACTAAAATAAGTTTAATATTAAACACTTTTACGGCTAGCATTTATGAGCTAATACTGATTTAATCAGAAATATTGTAAGAACATATTGCAATATTGATTCATAAAAAAATTTCATTATTTAGATTAGCTGCACATTTAAAATCTAACATTCTTGAAGAATCTGTTTAATTTCTCTTTATCATTAATTTTTTCTGTTTTGTTGTTTTAATATCAGTATTGCTGAACTTTTTTTTTTCACTTTTTTTTATTGCTAAGGAATTTTATTAAAAAGAATTTTGTGAATATTTTCAGTTTTTTCATTTATACACTGCAATATCAAATAAACAATTTTTTTTTCTGAAAATTCAGTTTTAAACTGATAGTTAAAATTTTTAGATTTTTGTTTGTTTCATTATAGGCCTCAGTTTGCTATGATAGCTATGATAAATACTTACTATTATTGGGCTAACTAAAGTAATGTTTTTTAAAAATCTCTCATGATAATAATTATTACATAACTGTATCAGTGTTTTAAACTAAGGAGTAGACAGATTCTATCTGTTGACCAGCCTTGCACCCCTTTTTCATCTATTAGGTTGGCACAGATGTATTTTTAATACATTGTTTCCAGTTTAGGATGTTGAATGCTGGATCTTCTTGACTCGATGCATAGGTTTTGCTTGTGTCTCTGCTTTTATGACTAGACAACTCATTCTATTATCTGCTAATGAGGGTACAGCTGTAAAACTCAGTTTTATGGTTCTGAGGCCAGCAGGTAATCAGGTTTCCTGAGTTCTGGGATAGATCTTAGAGAGGCTGATTCCATCAACAGCTGAAAAATATCAAAGTACTAACAGTGCCTTGTTGCGCATGGATGGTGTCCCTGTTTGTACTTTTGGTGTGCATTGCCAAGGCCACATTGGAGCCCTTTGTTACGGCTTAGAGTTTATTAATAGTAATGAGGCAATTGCTTGGGCTATTAAACAGTGTACTGAGTACTATCTATGTTTTGAGTCAAGTTCTTTAACAAATTTCAAAATGAATAAAGTAACAAAAACTATAAAACACAAAAAACCACAGTCATCACCAAGTTCGCTAAACCTATCCTTCGCTAATATTTGTGGTCTTGGAAGTAACTTTTCTTCTGTTGAGTCTTATCTCTTGCAAAGTTCACCAGACCTACTTGCTCTTAGTGAGACTAATTTAAGTTCAGCTGTCTCATCTTGTGATCTTAGTGTTGATTGTTATCTTCCTTTAATTTGTAAAGGCTCTAGTAGTCACTTTGTGGATTCAGGTTGGCATGGAATCATTTATTTTCTCTTGTTGATTCCAGGTCAAGCCTCACTCTTCTCCATGGTTTTCCTCATATTGTGCTGCTGCAATTGCCAATTGAAACCATTACTTCCATATCTATCAGCAAAACAATTCTCCAGAAAACAGATGTCTGTTTATTACAGCTAGGAACCATTGTAAAAAGGTTTTGTTTAATGCCAAAGCCTGCTATTCTCAGGTCATGAAATCTCGCATTTCATCAAAAAAATTAGACTCTCATGACTTCTGGAGAATCATTAATAGTACCAATAATAAGGGAAGGTCTGTAATTCCACCTCTTTTGTATGGTTCAGACTTTGTCACCTCACCTAATGACAAAGCTGAGTTATTTGCTAAGAACTTTTTATTAATATCATCTCTTGATTCCACTAGTTGTGTTCTACCTGATATAGCCGTCAAACAGGTTGATCCATTGCTTGACATTCGTATCACTCCAGCTTCTGTATCTAAAGTGCAGGCCCGGATTTATCCCAATTTGGGCCCTAGGCAGATTCAAAAATTGGGGCCCCTTAAATGATATATTAATCCTTTATTCAAGAATCAAGAATGTACTTTTAAAAGCAACTTCAAATTTTGACACTCAATCAAATTTAAAAAAAGGACTTAAGTATGTAAAAATATGTTTTATTTTCAAGTTTTACATTAACTTTTTTCTACACTTTTCCTTAGCAAATTCTTCAATCAATTCGTCAAAATCAATTTTTTTCATCAAATCTATGTTACTTGATAGCAATGAAAAACTATATAATATATTTTGTATCATAGTTGATCTTAAATAATTTTTCAGAGTGATCCTCCATTTGCACAAAATTGATAAATCTTTCAATTGGCTCAAATGTTGTATAATCAATATATCTCAAGATAATACAAAGTTGATTTTTGTGACTAATGTCTGGTGTAGAATTGACGTATAAACCAAAATTTTGAATTTTTTACTTCGTTGCTAATCGACTGTAAAACTTTCTTGGCCCTCAGTGCAACGAGTTCATCGCAAACAGTCTTTGACAAATAATTAGTTTTTCCAGATCTAACATTTCCATAATTTTTCACATGTTCAGATAGAAAAGGGTCAAACTTCGAAATAAACTCCAGTAATCCTATAAAATTGGATTCTTTGCTGAAACTTTCGTTGGATCCTCTGAAAGCCAAGTTTTTTTCTATTAGAATACAAATCGCTGCTATTACTCGTTTCAAAACCTGTCGCCAGTAATTTCGTTCCTTTCTGATTTCAGACTCCAGCTGATCTTTTACACTATAAATATTTTTACGCTCTAAATACTTCATCAAAGTTTTTCTATGTTCGGGTGAGTTCCTATGACTTTTTAACAATGAAAATGAATTCTTCTAGTCTCTAAATCCATGCGTTGCTAGGACAAACTGAGAAACTCTAAACAGCTTGCACACAAAGCAAAACACACTACCTAGCGATGGTGAGTATATTAACCATTCTTGTTTAAATTCTTCACTATTGGCTTTTTATGCTAATGAAAAGGTTTTTTGAACAATGGCGATCGTTTTTTGCGTATGACGTTTTGAAGCCAAAAATGTGCCATTTATATTCTGACAGGCTTCAGGCCCCTTTTGAATCCAAAATTCAACATCCTCCTTAGACAAATCAGCTCATAGTCCGGCATCACTCTGTCTATTAATTTGAGCACTCAGATCAAAAAAAGTCAAATATTCTTATATTTCTTTTCTGAAATGAATGAAATAATGCACTAATTAAATTCTTACATTAATTTATTTAATTTTACTTGAAAAATACTTTTTAATCTTAGTTTTTAGTTTATTCTGTAAAAATAGAATTCAAATTTCAACTTGTAAAGTTGAAATTTGGTTTCTATTTGAAAATTTAATTATACCCTACATTTTAATATCACAAATTATGAATAAACAAAGAAAAGGGGTGTATGTTTTCACTAAAAATTTACTAAATTAGTTTTTAAGAGATGGCGCCCAAGATTTTGGGGGCCCCTAAAATCTTGGGGCCCTAGGCAGTGCCTAGTCTGCCTATAGGTTAATCTGGGCCTTTTAAAGCTTGTGGCCCGGGCAACATACCTGTTGTAGTCTTGCAAAAGTGTTCTCCAGAGCCGTCGTCTATCCTTTCAAAACTATTCAACAAGTGCTTATCAGAGTCTTGTTTTCCAGCCTGATGGAAAGTAGCATCTGTTATTCCTATTTTTATTCCTATTTTCTGGAGAGCGATCTGATTCGTCTAACTACCGTCCCATTAGTCTTCTTCCTATCATAAACAAGGTTTTTGAATCTTTAATTAACAAACACTTAATCTCTTATCTTGAATCTAATAACTTATTTTCTGATCATCAATATGGATTTCGATTTTCTTGTTCTACGGCTGTTTTGCTAACAGTAATAACCGATAGGTTTTGTTGTGCATTAGATAAGGTGGAGAGGTTAAGGCTCTTGATATTTCTAAAGCCTTTGATAAAGTTTGTCATGCTGGTCTTCTCCATAAACTTTCTTCTTACGGTGTATCTGGAAACATCTTAAAGATTATTGAATTCTTCCTTTCCAATCGTAGTATAAAAGTTGTCCTTGATGGACAACACTCTTCTTATTCTGTAACCTCAGAGGCTCCTCAAGGTTAAATCCTTGGCCCTATACTCTTTTTAATTTACATTAAAGATCTTCCAGATATCCTCACATCTGAGTTGGCATTTTTGGCTGATGATACTGCTATTTATTCTTGTCATGATAAGAAGCTAACTCTCTCTGATCGCTTGGAGGGGACATTTGAGCTTGAAAACGATCTCACTTCTGCTACAGCATGAGGCTCACAGTAACTGGTTAACTTTAATTCTGATAAAACTCAATTTTTTTCAGCCAATTGTTATCGCAATAATCTAGACCTTCCTATATTTATGAACGGTAATGTACACGATGAGTCATCTACCCTTCATCTTCTAGGATTAACTCTCACTTCTGATCTTTCTTAGAAACGTTATATCAAATCTGTTGCAAAATTATTATCTGCTAAAGTTGCATCTCTTTATCGAGCTCGACACTTTCTTACTCTGGATTCTATTCTCTATCTCTATAAATCTCAAATCCGGCCTTGTATGGAATACTGTTGCCATATCTGGCGCGGATCTTCTAATGATGCCCTTCTCTTTTAGACAAGGTGCAAAAGCGCATTGTAAACATAGTTGGACCTGCTCTTGCAGTCAACCTTCAAACTCTGTCACATCGTCGTAATGTTGCTTCTCTTTTTCTTTTCTACAAATGCTATAATAGGCACTGCTCGAAAGAGCTAGCGTCTCTTGTGCCATCTACTAAAATTCATTCTCGTGTTACTCGTAATTCAGTTAAGTCTCATCCTTTTTCTGTTACTGTTATTTACTTGCTATTTTGAACGGAAGATGATAAAATATCAATATTGTAATTTTATTACTATAAAATTTAATAGTGGCTTTACACTGAAATCATGTGCGATCCGTTAGTCTATAATGCGTTTACTATGTGTCCTGCTTAGTTACTAGATTGGGGTGATCACCTTAATTAAATGTTATTATTTGTTTAATATTTAGTTTTTGTTGATATATACCATAAATAATAATAGATTATTATTTGTGTTATTCGTTTTAAATAAAGCTACTTCGCAAGAAACCATCAGATAGACTACCGTTAGCAGATGTCCTAAAGCATCCATGGATCCAACAACATTCTTCTATGTTTAATAAACAAAAGGTTTCAGTGAACCAGACACCTACAACTTCAGTCTCGTCTCTTTCTAGTTCCTGATTTTTAGTTTCTTATAATGTAAATAAAAGTAGTACTTATCTTTAAAATCATTGTTAAATTTTTTATTTTTTATTCAAATAACAATCGAATAATTTTACATTTTTTATTTTTTATAATTTGCGGGCTCTTTTACTATAATTTGTAAATAGTTTTTTTTTTTCTTTTTTGTTATGTTCAATTTAAAGTATTCTAATAGGTCTTGGAGATGTTCCTCGAGGGCACATTATTTGACTTTTAGGTTATAGGCTTGGTAGATATTAAAAGTCCCCATAATAAGCAGTTAGAAATAAAAAAAAAAAGTGAAAAATATTAAAAACTTACAAAAAAAATAAAATATTGCATATAAGGTTAAAATTAAAATTAAAAACATCCTTTTTATAATATGTTTTACCTTCTTTTTCAAAGATTTTGTCGCTTTTCTGAGCTGCAAAGTAAGAAAAAAAAGTGAGTTGTTTCCACGACATTATGGTTTATTATTTTTTATTTTTTCGATCCTTTGTTCGAATTGTTTTATATTTTTGGTTTCCTAAATTATTATTGGAAACGTGGCGTATTAAATCATCCTAAAAGTCTTCAATTGAAAGAGCCTCTAGAGCAGGTTGGGAACCCCTTACCTAAGTTCGTAATTGTTTTTTCGAAGCATATTAAATATTTGCTAAAAAAAAATGCTCACCCTTCATGTTTAACTAGTTCCTTGAGACTATTTTTAAGATCTCCTTAATAAATGTTATTACCGTTCCGCAGTTTGACAACTAGCTCTTTTTTGAGTTTTCTTAATAATAATAAAAAAGGTTCAAATGAAGTACCAAGCATAAAATAGTTTTTACGAATTACCATGCAGTTTCTTTAAAACAGACTACTTTTAAAAAGTAGAATTCGCTTGCGAATTTTACTAATATTACTTTCAAGAAAGATAGAATTCGCTTGCGACATTCTCCGTTTAAAACGATGAGGGAAATAAACTCAACCTCGGAAAAATAATTGAACAATTTTCCTTAGAAAAATCTCGAAAAATACGATATAAAATTACTTATTTGTGATTAAGATTTATAATCCTTAAATCGAGTGTATATGTATTTATCCTTATGGTAGATTGGTAGGTGGTACAAAATATTTAAGTATTAGTGGCAACACAAAAAGTTTATACATGCGACTACTACTAGAAGAAAGGTGTACCGAAACTACGTTAGCCCTGGGCGTCGCCAACCTTGAGGATGCAAAACCAGCAAGCAAAAATTAATTGAAAATTTCAAACTACATAAACCTTGAGTGTTTATTTAAAATTGAATATATTGACAAAAACGGGGAAAACTAAAGAATACTACTACCTTTAAAACTAGCTTTAAAGATCTTTTATTTTAAGTGCCGTTTTTTGTAAGAATCAAGCAAATTCCTAAAACTGTGGAAGTGACCTCCTCTAAATTGCTTGAATTTTTCATATATTGATCAGAATATAGAGAAAACCTATTAGAAAAAAAAGTTTTTAAAAATGTTTCGTTCACTCGGAATATGGGTTTAAATTTTTGAGATTTTTTGAGCAATTTTTAGAAATTTAGTTTTTGCCACCTTTGAAACCATTTTTTTTGACAAGGCAAAAACTTGCACATAACTTTTATTTATTTTTATTTTATTTTATTACCAAAATCAACGTAACTCCATAAGATTGTCTTTGCAACTGCACTAACCCTGTCTCGTTGATCTTTTCCACAACAGGGTTTATTACAATCATATATCAGCAATTTTATATCTCTCTCTTCGCATACACTGTAGATAGCTTCAGCTGAAAGATGTTCATGATAGCAGCCAGCATTATCAGATTTAGTAAACATCTTTTTGATTTGTGGTTGATCGATTCTGAATTGGTCTAAAACTGCAGTGGCTAGCAAAACAACATCACCTATTCCCTGATAACACCTATACATTGAAGTAAAGTAAACGCGCTTGAATAACTTTCCTGCTATGTTTATGAAGAATATATACACTTATAAACTCATTCCTTTCTTGCTAAAAAAATCTTTAAGCCAGAAAGCAGTCTCATCATTTAATTGCTTAAAAGTTTAAATTTTTGCCTTTTTCTGTTGAGAATCTCTCATCAGATGTTTTATGTAGTTAAATACATCCTTTACAGCAATTTCTAATCAGCATCATCAGATTTTTGAATTGCTTGTTCTTTAATTGTCTTGATAGCTTTTCACAAATCACAACAATTGGCACATACCACTTCTGATATCTCTGTGTTGGATTGAAGATTTTTTTCAGATGGATCTGATAAGCATGTTTTAAGCTATGAGAAGAAATGTTTGAATAATTGACACTACAACTGGTTTGATAACTTGTTTTCAGATTTTTTCTTTCTCAAGGGCAGTTTCTAGAGATTTAGAATTAAATCTTCCTGCCATTTTTTTTAATGTTTGAAAACCATTCATACCTGAAGCAGTGGCATCATCTAATCCAGCGAAACCTTTTCGATTTGACGGTTTTATTGCATGCAATACTTTTCACAAACTTGAATTGGATAATAGTGCATGATTGCTTTCACTGCAACTTTTTTGATAGAACATAATAGCGTGGCTATATTTTGTCTTCAGTATTGCATGCGCTATCTTTTGCTCTTCACTGTTGTCGTATTACAATTTGGTTATTCAACTAGCAACATCATGCAAAATACCGCTAATAAATATAAAATCTAAGAAATACTCACACTTTATTTGATTAAGGCTAGATCGGACAAACACCTTCTTGTTTGAAAATGCCAACCCTCATAAAATGCATGCCATTTTCTTACTATTTCTATACGATGTTTGGTACACTCAAATGTATTCATTATAAACTTTTTGGTATACTTAGTATGGTATACCGGTGAAAAAAGGTATACTGGTGGAAGGCACATATTTGTTCATCCTTTTCAAGACTTCTTTTAATCTTCTTTGCAATAAGTCAATTCCCAAAGATTATTATCGTTGAATTGCATTAAAACAATTTTTTAAACAACTATTAGGTGTGTCATTTAAAACATTGTTTATAATCTGATTCTTACTATTCACAAAAAATGTTCACAAGTTTGAAATATATTGTTGTTATTATTAAAATATAATATTGCAAAAGTGTGATTAATTTTGTGATTATTTATTAAAAGAGTGGGAAATTAATTAAAAGAGACATTTTTTTTTTTAGTAAGGTTTGTCTCAAAATCTTACTGCAGAGTAGTTATAAAGTATGTAATTATAAAAGTTATATTACAGTCGGCGTACATTCAAAACACAACTACCTTTAAGTTGATGAGGTGTTTGTTGACATCAACATCTTCCAGCTGATGAATGTAGAATGTATTGTTTAAAATTTTATGTTTTTTTAATGATCCACGATTTCCTTTTGAAAAGCAACATTTTTTATTAAAAATTTTGTTTTGTTTTATTCTCAACTAAAAATAAGTTCTATTTATGCAACCCGTATTTCTCAATAACAATGATAAAGTATCTATTCTATTTATGCAAATTTTAAAGATAGTTAAAATAAAGTTAAGACATTTTGATGGTAAAATAAATTGTTTTATGACAATCGCCCACTTACTAGTTTTTCCGTAATCGTTATATCGGAGATTCATCGTTCCTTTCAATCACCACAAGTGATTTGTTTATGAACTAAATTTAAATGATTTACTTCTGATCGTGTATTAAATTTTATCATTATTTATTTCAATTGTTATGATTTCTATATCATAGTCACAAACAATTAAATTTTTTCTTAACATTGCTTGCAATATTTTCTGCAATCAGGGCCGTCCCGAAGATGTCTTGCGTGGACGGGGAGGGGAGTGGTATGTATTTTTTGTCAACTGGAGAAACCAAAAAAAAAAGGTTCTTAATATTCTCAATTTGCCAACTATAGTTTAAAATTTGCTCAATGTGCCAACTCAAGTGCTTATATAACAGGGGGGGGGGCACCTTCTACACTAATCCCCTCCCCTCGGGACGGCCCTGTCTGCTAATGCTGAATGCTAATTTTGGAAGATAAAAAATTTACTGTGCTGCTGAGCAAAAACCGATCCGAATCCTTCATCTGTGCGTCCCAGAAAATATCTCTTCGTACTTAATCATTTTTAACACTTTGTACTTTTAATAGTAACTTAATATCTAAAGATCACATGATTTTTTTTTGTAATTATGTTGGGGTCATGTTATATTGACAATTTAGCATGATTATATTTTTACAAAACTTAGCGTCTCTGCCGTAATGAGTCATTTTGTAAGTATACTATAACATTTTTTTTTCAATTTCAAGCCTTAATATATGATTAGGCCTTTGGTATCGCATAACTTTCTTTGCATTTTTAGACTCAATAGTTTTGATACTTACAAATCCTGAAAGAAAAAATCGTGTGCAACACTTCGCAGTTAGAAATAACTCTCATTAAAAATTGACAAAACTGAATGTTTTTGTACTTTTGAACTATGATAATTAGCTAACCGCACAGTGTCATGCAACTTTTTTATATTTTTTTGGGTTTCGACTGGTATTAACTACAAAAGTTATGTGCAATTTTTTGCCTAGCCAAAAATGGATTCAAAGGTGGCAAAAACTATAATTTTTTCAAGAAATCTCAAAACTTGAAACCCAGATTCCGAGAGATTTTTTAAAACTTTTTTTTTCTCTAACAGGTTTTCTCTATATTCTGATCAATATATAAAAAAATTCAAGCAATTTGCAGGGGGTCACTTCCACTGACTGCCTGATTCTTACAAAAAAATGACTCTTAAGGAACTAAATTTTGAAAATCGAATAATTTTAAATCACTCATTTAAATAAACAAACCTTATTATGCAAGTAACGATAAATTATTTCGAATAATAACATAAATAAACAGCAACAAGATATAAATAAAATAAACAAATAAGTAAAACCATAAGTAACTTTTAAAAATTGGTTCAAGATGATTTCGCAACTGTATAAATTAAAATTCATCCAATAAGCTATAAAGTATTGTTCAATAAAACTTCTAAAATAATTTAAAGATAGGTACGCGCAGTTCCGACTCATTAATTGCTTTGCTTTTTCTTTTACCTAAATAATGTGGCACCATTTTCTAAAATATGTAACCAACGCATATTTTGTTGTGTATTTTTAGGTAAATTCGTATCTTTTTAATCTATTTTAAAAAATGAGGAATTTCCTAAACTTTCTTCATAGGGATTAAGTTTTTATTGGATTTGAATAACTTTATTAAAAATTTTGAATTAAATTTGTACCGCAATATGTATACATTTTTAGTTATTGTAATAAACTTTCTTCGTTATTACCTAAGTTTTCGGTTTCAATGAAGTTTCAATTCCTACTTTTTTCCTACATACTGTACATATTGTACATACTGTACTAAACATCATAGCCATCTCAAAATATTTTGCCTTGTAAGTGCCGAAATTAAATAACTTTACGGCGCTCATAAGTTGTCGAATTTCGTTTTTTATAACTTAGTAACTTATTATAAAATTGTACTTATTACTTTTTAATTACTTATTTAACAATTTATTTAATTTATTTTTAATAAATACTAATATTTATTATTAAATGTCTATATGTTTATATATATATATATATTATATATATATATATATATATATATATATATATATATATATATATATTATATATATATATAATATATATATATATATATATATATATATATATATTATGTATATATATATATATATATATATATATATATATATATATATATATATATATATATATATATATTATATATATTATTATATATAGTATGTATTATATATATATATAGTATGTATTATATATATTATATATATATTTATATATATATATATATATATATATATATACATAATATATATATATATATATTATATATATATATTATGTATATATATATATATATATATATATATATATATATATATATATATATATATATATATATATATATATATATATATAATACATATATATTATATATATATGTATTATATATATAGTATGTCATTATATATATATATATATATTATGTATATATATATATATATATATAAATATATATATATTATATATATATATATATATATTATTATATATATTATATATATATATATATATATATATATATATATATAT